GGTTCAGAGTTTTTAAACACTTTTGAAATATAGACTACTTATTTAAGTGACAGACTTTAAGAATACCAATTTGAACATTTTGGCTTCCGATATAATAGCAAAATCTTTATTTTAAAATTAAACCATCCTGTTTCAAAAGGGATTTGACATAATACACATGTTACAATAAAACTACTTATCGGTAATATAAAAATATTTAATGTCTACATTTTGTTCCTCATGTAGGGCTATAAATAAAATGCAGAAGTAGACAATCTGATTTAATGATAAATAATTTATCACTAGAATGTTTTTAAATGTTTTAGTAGATAAGAAAATCTGAAAAAAGAATAATATTATGTCAAGTATCAGAGGGGTAGCCATGTTAGTCTGAATCTGCAAAAGCGGCGAGGAGTCCTGTGGCACCTTATAGACTAACTGAGGTGTAGGTCTATACTGATGCATCTGACGAAGTGGATCTTTGCCCACGAAAGCTTATGCTCCTACACCTCAGTTAGTCTATAAGGTGCCACAGGACTCCTGGCCGCTTTTAATAATATTATGGTTACTTGGTAGTCCTTTTTCAGGTATTAGTCATTTCTACCCGCATTTGATGGCAATGTCATATCCTAATCCTCCAAATATATAAAGGCATAGACAAAATACAAACAACAACACTGCTCCTCAGGTAACAGTTTGTAAATTACAAAATTACATAGGCTATTGCATTAGCAAGAAATGCAGCACTGTGACATTGCAATAGTCATTTGTACCTCAAGTAAAACTTATAATTAGGCATTGTAAGTTAACTTTTATCAATTGAAAATCACTTCTCCATATGCCACTAAAATTGTATTTTATTAAACCAGTGCCTACAATAAGAGAAATTAAGATTACCATATAACAAGTTTCAATGCCTCTTGCAAAGATCATTCTGAATAGATAGTAATATACCATTATTTATGGCTAATGATGAGTCAAACCCTGGTCCCACTGAAGTCAGCGATAGTTTTCCACTGATTTCAATAAAGCCAGGAATTCACATTACCATAGAAAAATTAATCAGGCCACACCTATTATAGGAATATTATTCATTCTTTCAATGCCTACAATAAAACAAACTTTTTTACTTAGTTTATAAAAATAAATCCTTAAGCATCCACCCTATTCACTGGAAACACGGTTTTCCGCATTCTTAAAAATAGAGCAAATATATAACAAACCATAATGCTGGCAAAGTCTGTTTTTTTACATACTTTGTCACATGATATAAATTAAACCTACACTTTCCACATGTACAGTAGTCAGCATAAAATTTAATAACTAAAACACTCTAATATAACTCTAATGTATTCCAAGTACACTCTAATGTATTCCAAGTACAAAAGATGCCCTTTTAGTAATGACAAATTATAAAATTTTCAGGAAAATATCATGGAAACCATACTCTACTTCTTAGTTCATCTCTAAATCACCGAATATTAACAATAATAGTAATTTGTAAATTGGCAACTGTGTAGCAAAATCAGATATAATACTATACCTTGAGTTTAGAATAATCACAAGTAAAAATAAAAGGGAGACAGAAAACCAGATGAAGTTTGGACAAGTTTCTCTGACATACTCCAAGTTAAACTGAGGGGATAGGAATCTGCTTAGCTGAAGTGCTGTCATAATCTCTCACCAAGTCATTGGTGGTATGATAATGCATGGCAATATAGGATTTGGCAAATCCAAAAGTAGATTTCACTGGCTGTAAGCTATTAGGGGTGCTGACTTCTTGGGAAGGGCTGCTATTATAGATACTGTAATATGGTTCAATACGGGTATTCATGGGAGTTGAGCTGCTCTGTGCATAGTGCTGATGTCCAACAGAAGCCTTGGGACTCAACACACTTTCCTTAGAATGACTAGGACCACAAGCTTGGTCCACAAACTTTTTCTGAGGTTTTGGAGACAACATGTATGCTGAATTGGTTTCATGATGGGATGATTTGTTCCTGTTGACTTCCAAGCTCCCTTTGCCCATGGCTCGAAGCCTTGTCTTCTGCTTACAGCAGAAAAAAACAAGGGCTAAATACTGGAGACACCAAAGAACTCTCCTTCTAAGTCCGGCACTGTTACGGGAATATATAAAAGGATTTAATCCAGATTTGAAAAAAATTAAGGTAAATCCACACAACTCAAACTGGTAGAGGATGAAACCACCATTACTGGAAAGCACATCCTGCACCAAGGAGATCCCCAGGGGGACACAGCAAATTAAGACAGAGAGGACAATGACCACACATGTCACCACCGCTTTGGAGTCTTTAGCAGTGGACAAATTGACTGCAGATACCAGTTGGAGCCTGGTGGCTGTGGGAGCTGGCAGCTGGCTGAGATTCTTACTGTAGCCATGGGTCTGGATGTGCTGCAACTTGTTGTAGTTCTGGTTCCTGTATAAAGCAGGCACAGCACACTGCACCCCATCCACCGCTCCTGAAGCAGGAGGTCCAGTGAAAGGCTGTGGTCTGGAGGCATCTACTGTGATGATGGGGGGACATTTCCTCACTTGGGCATTTCTCCTCAAGGCCTGAGCTATCATGATATAGGAGACTGAGACCACAGTTACACAGCAGATGAAATCACTCACATACAAGTAGAGGATGATCTTCCCTTCGCCACTGATCAGGCTGGACATGGGGAGGCAGAGGCGTGACTTACGGGTTCTCAGGGTGGCCAAGATAGCTAAGGTGAAGCTTGTGACCCACAAGAGCAAGGTGAGAAGGAGGGTGCAAGGGAAGGAGGCATTTCGGTTGGGCTGCTTCCCTAGGACCATCCTGAGCCGATGCAAGGCTATCACAGCCACTGTCTTGAGAGACATGATGATGAAGCCAGAGCTGGTGAGGTGGAAAGTGAAGCAGAAAGCATCAGGAACACCATTCACAGAGTTGAAAAACAAGACAAAGGCAAACATGGGGGCAGTTACCCCACAAATGAAGAGGTCGCAGAAGGACAAGTTGAGGATCATAAAATCAAAGTTAGTCCTGAATTTCCTGAAGGCTGGGTCGAAGAACGACAAGAAGACAATGAGGTTGCCATAGGATCCCAGGCAGAAGATGATGGCCAACAGAAAGGTGCAGGTGACCAGCGTGGCTGTGTGGATGATCTCCTGGAGATCCCCCTGGAAAGAGGAAGAGGTGGAGTTCCCGCTCAGAGCGTGCAGCCGCTGTCGCGAGGTGTTGAAGGGATCCAGGAGCCTTTGGCTGGCCCAGTCCTGCAGCCTGTGTGTCAGGTTCATCTTCCCAAAAATAAACACCCCCCCACCCCCAATGGGAGAGTCCAGCGCCACCCCCCCCCCCCCAATGGGGGAGTCCAGCGTCTCAACTCAACGGTGTGGGGCAGGGGGAGTCCATGGTGGGCGAAGCCTGTAAACACCCCGAAGAGAGAAAGTCAGAGCAGGGAGCTTAGCCCCCCGCGGTCCGAAGTGCAGGTGTTCGGGAGGCGAGGGAGCTGCCGGGCTCTCACCTCGGCCCCGGCGGCTGGGACCCGCATTGGTTAAACCTCCCCTCCCCAAGGCCACAGCGAAGAGAGAAAGTCAGAGCAGGGAGCTTAGCCCCCCGCGGTCCGAAGTGCAGGTGTTCGGGAGGCGAGGGAGCTGCCGGGCTCTCACCTCGGCCCCGGCGGCTGGGACCCGCATTGGTTAAACCTCCCCTCGGCAAGGCCACAGCTCCCCCGGCCGCTGCGAGAAGGGCCAGGCCCGAGTCAG